TTATTAAATTTTTTTCATTTTTCACGTTTTGTTTACTTTCGTTACATAAACACACATGGTGCCATGCGCAAAATGATAAATTATAAAAAATAACTGAATATAATATAAAGCATAACTTTTAGGTCAAATCATTATCATTGAATTGCCAGATTCATTTATCAACATTTAAAATGCTACATACTCGGAATGCACGTGTATTTAGTCCAATATATCGGAGATAATAGTGCTTCCAGTCACATCGAAAATCGGGCGGGAACGATTTAAGAGCCCGAAACATATATGTACATACGTCACTCACTATGGTTGCTCGAAATCCCCGGGTATAATTAAAATTTTGAGTACCCGAGATTTGATTCAAGATTAATAATCTCAGATTATGTTTTAAATGGATCCTATCACGTTCATAACATGATCCTTGATATACATACTCACAAATGAAATTACGTAACTGTGGATGGTTTTTCTTAAAAACTGCAACAAGGCGGGAAACTATTTAAATTTAAAATAGTTGTTAGATACGGATGAATCTAAAAGCAGGGAATTAATTTACACACCTAATACATTTAAAGTCAGATCGTGTGATTCCAATTATAAAACTTGCATGATTATTGAAACATGCGTCTTCAATAATAAGGTTGTATACATTAAAATTTCATATATTCACTTCTATGCATTTCATACGCATTATGAATGAAACTTCGCAATATCTGTCAGAGGAAAATTTATAAAAATACAGAAGTGTGCTAACCCGAACACATTGTACCTGTTACTGAGACAAAATATAGACATTCGTTGGAATTCAACGTATGCTATGTTTAGAAGATTGAGTCTATTACATACATCCTTGAATATTGTATTATACAATAAAAATAGGCCGTAAAACTTGAATATAGAACAATAGAACTTTATGGATGCTCTAAAAGCAGTTCCTAACCTAATTAAAAAAACAACAGAAATACAATGTAATGTATGGAGAATTATAATCTACATTATCAGAACATTTCCCAATATCCTGTTGGCTTACTCAACGTACTTGAACCTGACAATAGTCAAAGTACAGTAATCATCGAAATGTGACATAACCTGCATAATACTTTTGTTACGTACGCAGACTAGCCGACACGGCGGCACCGAGACATCCGCCTAGAGCTCACCCCCTTCAGATAAAGTAGGGCCCCCACCACCCAAAAAATACAGATTTTCGGGTATATAAGGGCATGATTTTCGAGGCTCTGGGGCAGTCACAGTTCAGAGTTACTCTGAACTTTAAAGTAGAGCAGTATCTGTATAGTCGCCGTTTGACACAAGCAAGATCGGGCTCACTTCCCTTTCAAGCAACCAAGTATAATACTAAACTCGTAAGTGTCAACTAGACATACTTGTCTACGACGTCCCCGCGTACTCACCGTGTAAAGTCGAGAAGGAAGATTCTTGCTCAGCCACGAATCAACCATTATAATTTATATTTAAACCATTGTAAACTTATTGTAAACTCCTTGAATATTATTAGAATATAGTTACTATAGAATTGCTCAGCCTATATTCAATTGACCATCTCCTTGTAACATTAGTAACGAAACGGTTAAACTCACAAAGGATACATCTTTACCGCTCGAGGTATATCCGACATTACCATACGCACTGTCCTCACAACTTCAAACCTATCCATCCTTCGAAGAACGGCGTATTAACCACATACGCCGAAAGTTCCAATCCTATCGGACTTGTTGGAGAACGACGTATTACCCACATACGGTGAACGTTTTGACCGATCCACAAACCCAAACCAATATTACGCTCCGTGTGAGGACACAACAAGCGTAACCCGTAACACTTTAAAGGTTATTTGAACTATTTATTTCACTATTGGTTTACCATAAAATTTACCAAGGCTGTACTATACGTTATTTGTAGGAACGTTGTGAACATATCATAAAAAAATTATACAATAATAAATGCAACATTGCTAGAGGTTTAAAGATCCATTTTTATCAAGAGAAGAACAAATGTTGATAGGTTGATGAAAATTTAAAAATTGATTATATACAAATGGAAAGCAACAATAATTTAGGTGAGAATTTCAATACTAATTCTCAAAGCAGTTCTATTAATTCGAATAGAACGTTTGCAAATTATACGAAGCCCTACATATGCATTCGTAAGTATTGAATTATACATTCTCAATGAATTGAATCTGTTTCTTACTGATTAGGTGAAACATAATTAGAATTAATACAATGTTTCAAAACAACATTGGAAAATTCAAACGGAAGAAATTAAAATTTCCGTTTCCAATAAAAAGCGGGAAATACAAATGTATTTTACAGGATCTTATATCGTACAATAGTGAAAATGCAATTCTAACAAAATTTCCCTCCTAGAATCAGCGTACAAGAAACAATTATTAGAAGTAACCGAATAAAATTATCATTAAAAAATGTAAAACAATTCTGTCTTCTACGTATTGATTTATACGATAAAAAATATTTTCATTTATTTTTATATTTTTATTACTATCAAACATCCAGCAAATATTAATTTTTATGTGTACTTAATACCGCAATATTAAAAACTGAAAAAAATGATTCTATTAATAAAATTCTCAAATTCTGATAAGGTAAAAATTTAACTCTTACTTTGCTCCTTATATCAAATGAGTACATGAATTATACAGAATAAAGATACAAATGAAGGTAGAAACTTAATTTGCAAGTGAAGACAAAAATGTTTAAGGATATAAAATTCATTCTGAATAAATCTGTTACAAATTTTATTTTAGCACAGTATGCACTGTTGGGTTCTAGGATCTGATGATCGTATATAACTATTGATTTCTATAGTATGAAGCACGATATAGTGTTCCACGATATATTACAGCTATCGACCTTCATGGCAATGTAAAAGGCAATATTCGTCAACTTGTTAATTTCATATCACAGCCTAATTTAACGAACCCTATGTACAAATCGATGTAATAATTTTAATTTATTATTTTTACTAGTAAATCATGTATAATCAATTAAGTTTGTCAAAACGTTTCGGTATTCTGCTGAAAAATTATTATTTCTCAGAAAACCGAAATTGAAATTATGATTTTTAATTATGCTACTATAAAAACGTGTTCATATTTCATCAATACAACATTGATCCATAAAATATCTGTTTCCATAATATGTAATATATATATAAACTTTTATAAATAGTATACATATAAAAATCACAGCAACTGCATGTACATGAATTATTCGTTGCAATAATATTGAATTATATGTATGTCATAGTTCACGAAGGGTTAAGCGATGCGTATTCATGATTAAACAATTATACAAATATTTGCGGTATCATGAATATGTTAAACTGAACAAACAATGTGGGCAAGACTTATTTCTTTAAACATAATACTATTTCTTCTTTCGGTTTCTACAAATAATAATACCTCTTTCTAAAAAGATCTACGTACGTAACGATCTAAGTGCAATAAATCTAACAGTCGTTTAAAAAATCTACGATGTCGAAAAATGATAAAAAACCACCAATCATAAATTTTACAATTGAAAAAAAGAACTAGTATGTTATATTAAACCGATAAAAATCATTCGGTTACTAAACAAGACGTTACTGTTAGTATTGATGTTTGATGTCATTAAACTCAATGTTCATAAAGTTCATTATACTCAATCAACGCTATTTAAGCTGCCCTAGTTCCAAGTAAATCACACTGAAACAAACCCTTTGATAACGATACTATTGCTCATGTACAATTAAGGTAAGGTCGTGGGGTTCCAATTATAAAACTTGCATCTTCAATGATAAGCTTGAACTGTACACATTAACATTTCATGTATGCACTTCTACGCATTTCATATGCATCGGGAGTGCAACTTTGCATTATACCACTAACCGTGTATAATAAAAGAGCGAAAGTTTTGGAAGTTACTCATTTGTCGGATAGCGGTACCTCACGAAACACCCAGGTGTGATTCAAGCCTACGGAAGTCGAAATAGAAATTATCGAAAAAAGAAGCAGTGGTGATAAAAGGGAAGAATAATTTTACAATGAATGATATACACGCGACTAGTCAACTGGACGAGAAGGAAGATCTGAAGAACAATGACGACAGCCAGATACGAAAATTTTACGCTGGAAAATGCATATTTCTTACGGGGTGCATCGGTTTTCTGGGCAGCGTTATTTTAGAGAAAATACTGCGCACCTGTGTCGACATCGGCAAGGTCTACGTTATGATCAGGCCGAAAAAGGGTATGTCGATGGAAGACCGAGTAAAGGAACGTTTCAGAAATGTTGTACGTACCGAAGAAACTGTAAAAATAATCTTCTTATTTCACCTAATTATTTCAGTTCGTTTGAACGATACAAAAAGTGTTTTATAATGTAATTTGAGTGGTATAGAGGAACGTATACGGTGCGAGGAAGATTTTTGTTTCAAGATATTTCGAATTCTCAAGTTCGTCGATGTTTTTACTAAACTGATGCTTTAGCTGCGACGATGAATAAGCAAAGTAGAAATTTACTCTCCACATTTTTCAGTGCTAACTTACAATTAGTTCTGCTCCCTTTACCAACGACAAAGTAGTTCAGATTTTAGATAATTCCTTGTAAAATAAGATAGATACACGAAAAATACTGGAATAAAGAAACATTCACATTTCTATCGTTTTCAGCTGTTCGACAAAGTGCACCAATTGAATCCAAACTTCGTGGAAAAAATCGTACCGATTTATGGTGATCTACAGAAAACCGACTTGGCTCTCTCACCTGAAGATCGTCGATGTTTGATCGAGAATGTTGATATAATAATTCATAACGCGTCCCTGGTGTACTTCGAAGCAAAAGCGTCCCATCTTTTGCGGGCGAATGTGATTGGAACGCAGAAGATGCTCGAATTAGCGACGGAATGCCGTCATTTAAAGGCGTTCGTGTACGTTTCAACCGCGTACTCTCATCTTTACAACAAAGTGATCGAAGAGAAATTTTACCCACCTCCGGCTGATGTAAAGCTAATCGAACAGATAATACGAGCCGATGAAGAGAAGGAATTTGGAATTAGCCAGAACAGGATACACGATATCGTAGGACAATGGACTAATCTGTACACGTTCAGTAAAGCAACCACCGAAGGTTTGATCGAGGATTTCAGCAGAACAGCATCTTTCCCTTGCATAGTCTTCAGACCTTCTATCGGTATGAGTGGATTGTTACATTTCTATTTCAATTCGACGATAGGAACGAGTTAAAGAAAGGTGTTGAACTAGTATCGTTTAAATTTCAATTTTGATCTAAAGGATTTTTGAAGAAAAAAATTAATTAATTTACAAATCAACAGCCGTGCATAGAAATGTGTAATTTTGCTCATTTTGCGAATAGTTACACCGCCATATGAGGAACCGATTCCATCGTGGATAGGAAACCAAAATGGACCTATAGCACTGACAATAGGAATCAGCCTAGGTATCGTGCATGTAGTAAACACGCAGGAAGATATGCTGCTTGACTTAATACCTGCTGACATGATGACTAACGGTCTCCTGGCATCAATCTGGGATTCTGTTCTCCACAGGTACTATTAATATCGTTAAATTAAATATCATCCTTTAATAAAGCATATCAAATGTCCTTGTTTACTGGTATTAAAATTTCTGTGAAGAACTCAATATTTCTGTTATTTTCTATAGGAAATCGAAAGAACCACAAGTGTATAATTATGCATCGTCCGACTGGAATCCTATCTCCTTCGGATTAGCAAGAGCAGCAACTTTAAAAGGAACGTATAAATACCCATCCCTTAAAATGGTTTGGTATCCATTCGTTCTATATGTCCAAAATTTCTATGTTTTATTTGTATTCCACGTACTATTTCACGTGATACCTGCTTCAATCGCTGATATAGTTCTGGTGGCTCGAAGGAAGAAACCAATGTAAGTTTCAAGAAACAATTTAAAACCTGTACACGAATAAGAATATTTCGATTGAACTGCTTTAATATTTATTTGAAAAATAATGAAAAAATTGTAATATCTTATTATCGATTCGGATATTTAAAAGTTACGTGATATTCTTTTTCACAGGGCCATCAGTGCAGTATGGAGGGTAATGAAATTCTTCAGGATTTTATCGCACTTCATAACTTCCAGTTGGATCATAAAAAGTGATAATCTAAAAGATGTACAAACTCGTATGAACGCTGCCGATTTGAAAGAATTTCCGTTTGATTTAAACGTAGTGGACTGGTATAGATTAATAGAGTCAGCTCTACTAGGTTTCCGACAAATCTTAAAGGATACACCAGAGTCATTACCAGCTGCTAAGAGAAAGTATCAGAGACTAATGACATTCCACTACATTGTTTGTAGCTTCCTCGTGCTCTTCTTGCTGTTCTTTTTATACAGGGCAATGTGTTTTTAGTTATTAGTCACGTAATAAATACAACATGAAAATCGTATAAACACCTGTTGGTTTAATATGACAAAGAACAGCCATTTACTATTTAAAGCTTGAAAATAGCGATTTAATCTTAATACTGTTGGTAATTTTTGGCACACTTTTACCTTAATTGACTAAACGATAAATGTGAAAATTTCAATTTGAAGAACTTTTCAAAAATTTTGAAACGCTAAAATGAAATTGGCGATCGAACATCTACGAAGGGGTCAACAACCGGGAGGACAAAGGATCGTAAAATATCACAACACCATTATTATATATAGAATAATACTCTTTATTGTTTTTGATAGTTTTTGTTGTTGTTGTCCATATCGTGCGTTATTCTCTTACTTTTCTTCAGGTTAATCGTCTTTTTTTTTGCGCTGCGTTTGTTGTTTTCCATTCTTTCTGTTGCTGCTGTTTTTCTTTACTGCATGATATTTTGGTAAAACGGTATGCGATATAACGTCACAACTTTTTCGAAACAAAATTCGAGAAAAACGAACGAAGAAAAAAAAAAATACAACGTGTCCAACCACTCGAGGACCGTGCATCTTTCGTACCGTATGTACGTGGGACCACTTAGGACTAGAGTAATTGCGATTCATTCTTTCTTTCGTATTGTTTCCTTATTGTTTCTTTTGTTTGTGTTTTCGATTTTTTCCTCATTTCGGTTTGTTACGCTAATTGGCAAGCACGCGTGCAAGGGTGACGAATCGCGGACGCGCTTCGTTAAAATTAAAATTCGATCTTTTCCCCCATTCTCTTTTACGCTTGATTTTGCACATATTGGCGGACAACACGCAAAACTGTTGCCTTGCATTTCTTTCTCTCTATTTCAACATTTTCCTTCGTTAATTAATTTTCCCCTTTTTTCGTTTTTTTTTCTTTTTTTAGACGCGGTCTCGCGACACGCTACGGATTACAGTCGAGTGATCGGCACACGCCCCCGTAGATACAACCGTGCATCCTTAAAATTTGTCCTAGCTCTATTAAAATGGCCGCACACGCGGCTCGTATGGCGAACGTACCCCATCGGGATAAATCGATTTCAGGCGATTATAAACTGGTCTAGTTAATTTTCAAGAGGCAATTTACACGATCGACGCAACGATAGAAATCGTTTTCGTTCCGGAGATTTTAATTTTGCTTCATCTTTTCTTTCTCTTTTTTTTTTTTTTTTTCGTCGTTCCAAATGTATTATGTTCCATTACTAAATTCACCGTAGAATCGACAATATCCCTCGGGAACGTGCATTCGCTTCACGCGCCCGGCGCGATTTTCGATGCAACTTCATCTTTTACTTCTTCCTTCCTTTTCTCCCCCTCTCGCGCGTCGTCGTCGTTTTTTTTTTCTTCTTTTAATTAATTAACTCTGTCTTTCTGTTAACCGTCCTCTCCACACTACTATTTACAATGTACAGTGTCGTGTGTTCTTTTTTTTCCTCATGTCCTAGGTTTTCGCGGTCACGACGGGACTCCCGTAAAGTCTCGGAGAACCGTTCCGATCTAACTAACTAACTCTCTCTCGTCACTCGTCCTCGTTTAGTTTTCATTTTACGGTTTCATATTATTTTTTTTCTTCTTTTTTGTGTTCATTTTGCGACAATCATTTTCACACCGCTAGCCGACATAGGCGGCACGGCCTCGTTCCTTCGCCGCACAGCTG